AGCCGGCGTCCGGCCCCGCCCCTTCTGCCTGAGGCCCCACCCCCACCAGACCCCAGAACCCCACGCCCCACTTTGGCGGATGGTCCCCCAGCCCCAGGCTGCCTGAGTGCCTGGAGCCCCAGGGGAGGTGGGCATGGCCTAACCCCAGCGCCAGCCTGGCCATGGGGCAAGCAGAAGGGCCCTGAGGGCAGAGGGGGCCCCAGGCGCTGGCTGATTCCCGGGCTCGCGGCCTCTCACCGGGGCGTCCGTTCCTGGTCAGCGTGATGCTGGGGGGCCCGGGCGGGTCTGCAACACAAACCAGACAGAGGTCGGGGGGTTGGGCAGCCTGGTGGGGAGGGGTTCCTAGTGAGCCCGGAGGGGGGGCAGCTCCAGCACCATGAAGACCAGGAAAGTCTTTGGGAGATCAGGGCCCAGACACTGGCAGCCCCCAGGACCAATGGGGAGAGGCCAGCGCTGCAGGTCAGCCTGATAGACGGGTCTGCCTGGCCAATGAGGGAGTGAGGGGTTGGAGACGAGCCCCTCCTCCCTGTGGGCTGGGCTTGCCTGGGACAGGCTGAGTGGGGCAGAGTTAAGGAGACAGCAGGGGCCTGGGCCGAGCTGGGACAGGGCCGGTCAGGGACACGGCCAGTGTCAGGGCCCTGCTGGCAGTGGGGGTGCAGCCGGAGGGGTCAGAGAAGCAACCCGGGAGCTGGAGGCGACGCAGCAGAGAACAGAGCCGGGGCTGGAGCTGGGTGCAGGGGCAGCAGGGGGCTGCAGCGTCAGGGCCCAGTGCAGGGTGACTCCCGCAGGCAGAGGGGATCATAACCCCAACGGGGGCGGGCAGCTGGCCCTGGGGGAAGGAGCCCTGCTGCCCAGAGCAAGTGTCCGACCTGCAGCCTCCCTGCAGCAGCCAGGGCCTGTGGGGGGAGGCCTGGGACCTCCCAGGAGCAGAGTGGGACCTGCCCTGACACCCCACAGACGCAGCCTGAGAGTCCCCAGGCCCAGAGCGGCTGGCGTCTTGCCAGAGTTCCCCGTGTTTCCTCTTCTCTGTGTACACAGGTGACAGTTGCATACATGGCGTTTGCTTAGGGCCGGGTGTAACCGCAGTGGGCCAGGGAAGCGTCCGTGTGAAGAGCTGCCCCCCACGTTTGGGTGTAAGAGCGGAACCGTTTAAACGGGTACCGGATACGCGAGAGTTTATCGGTCACACGCGGCCCCTGGTTGGCTCCCAGGGCCCGGCTCTTACCCCCGAGTAGCCGGGTGATGCTGGAATTTTCCACAGTTCCAGGCTTCCCCAATGACACCCAGTGGAACATCCCTGCCCCGCAGTGGGGACACCTGGCCCTGCCCCGGTGACGCACCAAGGTTAGGGGTGAGCCCCAGGAACCCTGGGCCCAGCCTTGTTGGGGTTCCCGGGGCTCTGCCACGCAGGGGAGTGGTAGGAGATCCCTTAGGGCAGGGAGGCCTCTGGGTACAGGCCGTGGGAGTGGGGACTTGGAGCCTTTTGCTGGCCCATTTCCCCGGGGTGGTGGAGGAGCCAGAATAGTTCCTCTCAGTAGCGGGAAGGGTCCCTGCTCATGCTCCCATGGCCCCGTGGGCAGCAAAGGGCAGCGACAGACCCGCCTGCGCCCGGCCCAGGAGGCACCTGACCTGATCCAGGGGCCGCGTTGGGGTCACACCGGGAACCAGAAACCTGGGAGACCCAGCCCAAGGGATCAAACCAGCGGCCTGCTCCCCAGACATGTCCTGCCGGGCTCCTCTAACCCCTCCCCCAGTGCCAGCTCCAGCTGAACGGCAGCTCCCGCCAGGGACACCAGACACCCCCTCCTAGCTCCATGGCCTCCCGCCTTGGTCCCTTTCTCACAGGCCCTCCTCTCTTGTCCCAGGCTCCGCGGGCCAGGCCCATGTGTTGTGCAGCAGGGACACGTCTGCACCACAAGGGCGGCTGAAAGCAACGCCCAGAGCAGCCTGATGCTGGTACCCGCAGGCTGGGCCTGGCAGGGTCCCTCCTGGCTGCTGTCATAGTCCTGTGGCCGAGGCTCAGTGCTGCGGAGGGGCCTGCGCTGGGCTGGGGATCGGGGGGGGGCCGGG